CCCGCGCCCTGGAGGCAGGACGGACGGACAGACGGGCTCCCGCTGCAGCCGGGGCAAGTGCGGGCTGGGAAGCACTGGAGCCTTGCCGAGGGAAGCCCCGGCCCTGCCTCCCAGGGCTAGGCCAGGCCCCGTGTCAGGACCCCAAAGTGGGTCACAGCCTGGTGGGGAGGGGGCTACCGGGGGGCTGTAGACGAGCTGGGGCCTGGGGCTGAGGCTGCTGCTTGGGGTAGCAGGGTGCAGGCCCCCCTCCCCGGCTGAAGCTCTGGGCTGTGGCCTTGCCCCCAGTGACTGTGGTGCAGTGAAGACAGAGCCCCTGGCCTAGGGAGCTGGGCCCCTGCCGCCCAACGGTTGCGATTCTCCCCTCAGATGCCCGAGGGGAGCGGCTCTGGGCCTGCGGGAGGAGAGATTCCTGGGGTGCCCAGGCGGGGGGCACAGAAATGGTCCCTCAACCTGATTTCCGCCTGTGTGGGATGCATTTTGTGATGTGCACCCAGGCATACATGAATGGGCACCACAAACCCAGCTGGCGGCCCCTGGCTCTCTCCCGGGCGGCTGCCCAAGCGCCCAGCTGCCAGGGACACCGGTCAGAGGCCGCAGGCCCCTGCCCACGCCGGACGGTCCCGGCAGATCTTCGGGCCTTGCAGCTCAAGCCAGGCCCGGTCGGCTCCCTGACCTGGTCCAGGAGATGCAGGCGATGGACGTAGGCTCGCTCCGTTTCCAGCAGCTCCAGGGCAATTTTCTTTTCTTCGGGGTCCTGCGTGGCGGCAGAGGAGAAAGGGCTTTGCTCACATCGCTGGGAACAAGGGGCGAGAGCCAGGGGCCTGCTGGCAAGTCTGTGGCATTGGCCAGCTTGGCCAGGGACGATGTTAGCCCGGTGGGTCGAGGGCAATTCCCATTGGCCATAGGCGCGTGAAATCAGGCAGCCCCCTTTGCACCCCTACCCCCATAACCCAACCCCTGCTCCTGCACCCCTACCCGCGTAACCCAACCCCTGCTCCTGCACCCCTACCCCCATAACCCAACCCCTGCTCCTGCACCCCTACCCGCGTAACCCAACCCCTGCTCCTGCACCCCTACCCCCATAACCCAACCCCTGCTCCTGCACCCCTACCCGCGTAACCCAACCCCTGCTCCTGCACCCCTACCCCCATAACCCAACCCCTGCTCCTGCACCCCTACCCGCGTAACCCAACCCCTGCTCCTGCACCCCTACCCCCATAACCCAACCCCTGCTCCTGCACCCCTACCCGCGTAACCCAACCCCTGCTCCTGCACCCCTACCCCCATAACCCAACCCCTGCTCCTGCACCCCTACCCGCGTAACCCAACCCCTGCTCCTGCACCCCTACCCCCATAACCCAACCCCTGCTCCTGCACCCCTACCCGCGTAACCCAACCCCTGCTCCTGCACCCCTACCCCCATAACCCAACCCCTGCTCCTGCACCCCTACCCGCGTAACCCAACCCCTGCTCCTGCACCCCTACCCCCATAACCCAACCCCTGCTCCTGCACCCCTACCCGCGTAACCCAACCCCTGCTCCTGCACCCCTACCCCCATAACCCAACCCCTGCTCCTGCACCCCTACCCGCGTAACCCAACCCCTGCTCCTGCACCCCTACCCCCATAACCCAACCCCTGCTCCTGCACCCCTACCCGCGTAACCCAACCCCTGCTCCTGCACCCCTACCCCCATAACCCAACCCCTGCTCCTGCACCCCTACCCGCGTAACCCAACCCCTGCTCCTGCACCCCTACCCCCATAACCCAACCCCTGCTCCTGCACCCCTACCCGCGTAACCCAACCCCTGCTCCTGCACCCCTACCCCCATAACCCAACCCCTGCTCCTGCACCCCTACCCGCGTAACCCAACCCCTGCTCCTGCACCCCTACCCCCATAACCCAACCCCTGCTCCTGCACCCCTACCCGCGTAACCCAACCCCTGCTCCTGCACCCCTACCCCCATAACCCAACCCCTGCTCCTGCACCCCTACCCGCGTAACCCAACCCCTGCTCCTGCACCCCTACCCCCATAACCCAACCCCTGCTCCTGCACCCCTACCCGCGTAACCCAACCCCTGCTCCTGCACCCCTACCCCCATAACCCAACCCCTGCTCCTGCACCCCTACCCGCGTAACCCAACCCCTGCTCCTGCACCCCTACCCCCATAACCCAACCCCTGCTCCTGCACCCCTACCCGCGTAACCCAACCCCTGCTCCTGCACCCCTACCCCCATAACCCAACCCCTGCTCCTGCACCCCTACCCGCGTAACCCAACCCCTGCTCCTGCACCCCTACCCCCATAACCCAACCCCTGCTCCTGCACCCCTACCCGCGTAACCCAACCCCTGCTCCTGCACCCCTACCCCCATAACCCAACCCCTGCTCCTGCACCCCTACCCGCGTAACCCAACCCCTGCTCCTGCACCCCTACCCCCATAACCCAACCCCTGCTCCTGCACCCCTACCCGCGTAACCCAACCCCTGCTCCTGCACCCCTACCCCCATAACCCAACCCCTGCTCCTGCACCCCTACCCGCGTAACCCAACCCCTGCTCCTGCACCCCTACCCCCATAACCCAACCCCTGCTCCTGCACCCCTACCCGCGTAACCCAACCCCTGCTCCTGCACCCCTACCCCCATAACCCAACCCCTGCTCCTGCACCCCTACCCGCGTAACCCAACCCCTGCTCCTGCACCCCTACCCCCATAACCCAACCCCTGCTCCTGCACCCCTACCCGCGTAACCCAACCCCTGCTCCTGCACCCCTACCCCCATAACCCAACCCCTGCTCCTGCACCCCTACCCGCGTAACCCAACCCCTGCTCCTGCACCCCTACCCCCATAACCCAACCCCTGCTCCTGCACCCCTACCCGCGTAACCCAACCCCTGCTCCTGCACCCCTACCCCCATAACCCAACCCCTGCTCCTGCACCCCTACCCGCGTAACCCAACCCCTGCTCCTGCACCCCTACCCCCATAACCCAACCCCTGCTCCTGCACCCCTACCCGCGTAACCCAACCCCTGCTCCTGCACCCCTACCCCCATAACCCAACCCCTGCTCCTGCACCCCTACCCGCGTAACCCAACCCCTGCTCCTGCACCCCTACCCCCATAACCCAACCCCTGCTCCTGCACCCCTACCCGCGTAACCCAACCCCTGCTCCTGCACCCCTACCCCCATAACCCAACCCCTGCTCCTGCACCCCTACCCGCGTAACCCAACCCCTGCTCCTGCACCCCTACCCCCATAACCCAACCCCTGCTCCTGCACCCCTACCCGCGTAACCCAACCCCTGCTCCTGCACCCCTACCCCCATAACCCAACCCCTGCTCCTGCACCCCTACCCGCGTAACCCAACCCCTGCTCCTGCACCCCTACCCCCATAACCCAACCCCTGCTCCTGCACCCCTACCCGCGTAACCCAACCCCTGCTCCTGCACCCCTACCCCCATAACCCAACCCCTGCTCCTGCACCCCTACCCGCGTAACCCAACCCCTGCTCCTGCACCCCTACCCCCATAACCCAACCCCTGCTCCTGCACCCCTACCCGCGTAACCCAACCCCTGCTCCTGCACCCCTACCCCCATAACCCAACCCCTGCTCCTGCACCCCTACCCGCGTAACCCAACCCCTGCTCCTGCACCCCTACCCCCATAACCCAACCCCTGCTCCTGCACCCCTACCCGCGTAACCCAACCCCTGCTCCTGCACCCCTACCCCCATAACCCAACCCCTGCTCCTGCACCCCTACCCGCGTAACCCAACCCCTGCTCCTGCACCCCTACCCCCATAACCCAACCCCTGCTCCTGCACCCCTACCCGCGTAACCCAACCCCTGCTCCTGCACCCCTACCCCCATAACCCAACCCCTGCTCCTGCACCCCTACCCGCGTAACCCAACCCCTGCTCCTGCACCCCTACCCCCATAACCCAACCCCTGCTCCTGCACCCCTACCCGCGTAACCCAACCCCTGCTCCTGCACCCCTACCCCCATAACCCAACCCCTGCTCCTGCACCCCTACCCGCGTAACCCAACCCCTGCTCCTGCACCCCTACCCCCATAACCCAACCCCTGCTCCTGCACCCCTACCCGCGTAACCCAACCCCTGCTCCTGCACCCCTACCCCCATAACCCAACCCCTGCTCCTGCACCCCTACCCGCGTAACCCAACCCCTGCTCCTGCACCCCTACCCCCATAACCCAACCCCTGCTCCTGCACCCCTACCCGCGTAACCCAACCCCTGCTCCTGCACCCCTACCCCCATAACCCAACCCCTGCTCCTGCACCCCTACCCGCGTAACCCAACCCCTGCTCCTGCACCCCTACCCCCATAACCCAACCCCTGCTCCTGCACCCCTACCCGCGTAACCCAACCCCTGCTCCTGCACCCCTACCCCCATAACCCAACCCCTGCTCCTGCACCCCTACCCGCGTAACCCAACCCCTGCTCCTGCACCCCTACCCCCATAACCCAACCCCTGCTCCTGCACCCCTACCCGCGTAACCCAACCCCTGCTCCTGCACCCCTACCCCCATAACCCAACCCCTGCTCCTGCACCCCTACCCGCGTAACCCAACCCCTGCTCCTGCACCCCTACCCCCATAACCCAACCCCTGCTCCTGCACCCCTACCCGCGTAACCCAACCCCTGCTCCTGCACCCCTACCCCCATAACCCAACCCCTGCTCCTGCACCCCTACCCGCGTAACCCAACCCCTGCTCCTGCACCCCTACCCCCATAACCCAACCCCTGCTCCTGCACCCCTACCCGCGTAACCCAACCCCTGCTCCTGCACCCCTACCCCCATAACCCAACCCCTGCTCCTGCACCCCTACCCGCGTAACCCAACCCCTGCTCCTGCACCCCTACCCCCATAACCCAACCCCTGCTCCTGCACCCCTACCCGCGTAACCCAACCCCTGCTCCTGCACCCCTACCCCCATAACCCAACCCCTGCTCCTGCACCCCTACCCGCGTAACCCAACCCCTGCTCCTGCACCCCTACCCCCATAACCCAACCCCTGCTCCTGCACCCCTACCCGCGTAACCCAACCCCTGCTCCTGCACCCCTACCCCCATAACCCAACCCCTGCTCCTGCACCCCTACCCGCGTAACCCAACCCCTGCTCCTGCACCCCTACCCCCATAACCCAACCCCTGCTCCTGCACCCCTACCCGCGTAACCCAACCCCTGCTCCTGCACCCCTACCCCCATAACCCAACCCCTGCTCCTGCACCCCTACCCGCGTAACCCAACCCCTGCTCCTGCACCCCTACCCCCATAACCCAACCCCTGCTCCTGCACCCCTACCCCCATAACCCAACCCCTGCTCCTGCACCCCTACCCCCATAACCCAACCCCTGCTCCTGCACCCCTACCCCCATAACCCAACCCCTGCTCCTGCACCCCTACCCCCATAACCCAACCCCTGCTCCTGCACCCCTACCCCCATAACCCAACCCCTGCTCCTGCACCCCTACCCCCATAACCCAACCCCTGCTCCTGCACCCCTACCCCCATAACCCAACCCCTGCTCCTGCACCCCTACCCCCATAACCCAACCCCTGCTCCTGCACCCCTACCCCCATAACCCAACCCCTGCTCCTGCACCCCTACCCGCGTAACCCAACCCCTGCTCCTGCACCCCTACCCGCGTAACCCAACCCCTGCTCCTGCACCCCTACCCGCGTAACCCAACCCCTGCTCCTGCACCCCTACCCGCGTAACCCAACCCCTGCTCCTGCACCCCTACCCGCGTAACCCAACCCCTGCTCCTGCACCCCTACCCGCGTAACCCAACCCCCTGCTCCTGCACCCCTATCCCCGTAGCCCAACCCCTGCTCCTGCACCCCTATCCCCATAACCCAACCCCTGCTCCTGCTCGTGTCTCTGAGCACGTTGCTTTCCGTGAAGTGAAACTTGGGGTCCCAAGAAGAGCGGCTCCTGAAAAGGGAACAGGAGCCCCACAGGCCCTTTCTGCAGGCAGCAGACTTGCACGCGTTCTCTCCCACACGTGGGTGGGACCCAGCCCCCGTGGGTGTGCACAGCCTGGAACAGCCCCCTGCTCTCACCAAGCAGCCATGTACACAGCCCCCTGCCTGCACACGCTTTGCTGGGACCCCACCTGCGCACAAGCCCTGGCCCCTTGAGAGCCTGGCCCGACCCCAGCGGGACTTCTCCATTCCTGGGCACACTGTGCTGTGCGGATCCTAGCCAAGCTCTTTTTCTGTTCCACAATCGGCACGCACGTTTCATTTCCAGCTTCCCTAGCCCCCAGGCAGCACTTCTGTTTCCTCCTGCGGGGCCGCGCCGGAGAGGAGCCAGTCGGACACGGTCACATGAGGAAAGAGATCGCGTCCATGTCATCAGAGACCAAGTGTGGATCTGGGAGCAGCTGTGCGTGGCGGAAAGCGTGCAGCTCAGGGCTCGGGAGGAAGCAGGGCAGAGGGGGGACAAAGCAGGGGCGTTTGAGGGCACCTTGTCGTAGAACAAACTTCCTGAGCCGCTGCGTGCATCTGGAGTCTGACGTTCTGCAGGAAGCTGCTGAGTTTTCCTCTTTGAAAGAGGGGGTGCTCTGAATCTCTCCTGGGCAGTCACCCGAGCGCTCAGCTTCCAGGAAGCCCTGCTCACGCCCTGACAACCCGCCCACAGCCCTACGGCCCCTCCTCCCTCTGCCTCCCCACCACGCCAGCAAAGACACTGTGTGTGAGCCCCTCGGCCCCAGGCTGTGTTTTGGCCTAGAAAAGGGATGTGCCAGTCTCCACGAAGGCCTTTAGGCACTTGACGGCTGGTACTGATCTACCATTGAAGGGGCCAGATACCATGGTGGTGGGGAGCAGCATAAAACCCTAAATAAATGGAAAAATACAAAGCCAGACATGAGCTGTGCAAAGTCCCGACCCCTCCTCTGCACCCACTCCTGGCACGGCTGGTGCTATGCCAGAAAAGACAGAAACTTGTGGCAAACTGCGACCTGATCTGAAAAAGCGAAGTGAAGCCATTCGGCGAAGAGCCTCCTCCACCGTCACAGCCTGCCTGACCTCAGGAACACAGGCCTGGGAAATGGGGGTGAGCTGCGCAGACTGCCCAGCACCTGCCCAGGGGTTCCTGGCTCGTACCGGGCACCTCAGCCGTGCAGTACCATATCGTAAGCGCCAGCAGCAGCAGCTCCTAGAGAGACTCTCTCAGCTACACAGATCAAGGCATATTATAGAAAAGGGCAAGACTGTGCCCATTTCAAAGATGGCAAAACTGAGGCATGAGGCGCAGAGGAGATTTGCCCAAAGGCATACAGTGAACCAGGGCTAGCCAGAGGTCTCCTGAGTGCTCATTCAGTGCAGTATCCCCCTGTCTGTCTGCCAAAGAGTCTGAGTCTCACCCCTTTTGCCAGGCACAGCTGCAGCCTCACAGGGCAACAGACAAGGAACCTCTCTCCTCTACCTGGACACTCTGTGCCCTTCCCCCAGGGCAGGTTTCTGGGGCACACGTGCCAATATACCTGGGGAGCAGTCACTGCAAATCCAAGTGGACTGTGGCCTTAGCAAAGGTCCTAGTGGCCAAGTGGCCACAGCAGACAACAGCTAGCTCCCGCAATGACTCTGAGCCCCTGGACTGGCGGTCTCTGCAGAGAGGCTGTGGAGGCCGAACTCGGTCCCTCCTGGGCCCGGGGGAGGTGTGGTGGGCCCGGCCTCGGCCAGGCTGTTCCGTGATCGGGGGTCTGCTAAGCCGCAGGACGGTGGGTTGCAAATCTGGCCCTGGCACTGAATAGCTTTGCAAGGAGCAGTGGGAGATGCCGGTAGCCCAGCAGAGCACCCCAGGGCTCACTGTGGGGCCGGGGAAGCAGGGCCTCAGCCATCAGACTTCGCTTCTGCCCCATTCGTCACCATCTCTCGCCTGCTGCTGGACCCTGATTTGAAGGAACGATGCCTTACCTGGGCTTCTCAAACAAAGCCATGAGATCAAGCACAGTCAGTCGGCTGCCCCGCTCCCCCTCCATCAGGCTTGCCGAGTCCCACCAGCCAGGTGAGAAAGCAGCAGGAAGACCAGGCGGTAGCAGGCGGCCCCAGCTGCGTCTGGGGCGCTGGGAAGGGCAGATGTGGCTGGCTGGGCAGACCTGGGAGCAGCGGGTCGCTCTGTCGCTCTTGTCCGGGGCGTGAGCAAATCTCGCCCGGGCTGGGCTCCCGGGGAAAGTGAAGAGGAAGTGTTGCAGGCTGCCGGGGGAGAAGGAGGAAAGTGCTGCGTGCTGGATTGGTGCAGCTCAGGCAGGCCTCCTGGGCAGTGGGGGCTGACCTCAGGGAAGCTGAGTGGGCCCCACCAGTGTCCCTCGAATGTTCCCAGCCCGAGCAGAGGGAGTTTACTTACGTGCACCAGTGTGAAGGGGATGTGCGACACGGAGGGGACGTGCGACAGGTCCTAGCAGAGCCTTGGGATTAACGCGGCTCTGTCAACTACAAGTCTTACACGTGTTGGGATGTTGGGATTGTGAACACTGGCGAGGCAGTCTGCCAGGGCGAGGCCGGCCTCCAATCCTGACATCTATGGATTCCGCTGAATGGCTTGTGTGAAATTTGGAAGAGCAGCTCAGAGAGACCTCGCTCCTTTACGTAAGGACAGAATCTCAGGGCAGCCTGACGGACATTGTCCTCATGGCAGACAGAAAGCCACTGGCAGGGTCAGCAGCGGATACAGGGCAGGGCGAGCGGGGCGGCTGCCCCGGGCCCCGCGCTTCAATAGGCCCCGCGCACGCGCCCCACACACGCTACTTCCGGTCAGCTGCTGCCGAGGTGCATGCGTGAAATTGTGCTGCCCTGGGCCCCGCAAAATTATCCTCCGCCCCTGTGCAGGGTTAGGCTCAGGCTACTTACTGCTTCGAGTGCCTTCAAGAAAGTGAGGGTGATTCTTGTGTTGTGTGTTAGTTTTATTTTAAAGTTTTTCAGAGTGTTATTTTAGCAGGGAAGTTAATCGCTTATTCAGAACTCGCATGTAGTTTTTCACTGTGCGATAATGTGAAAAACGATTAGGTTAACTAGGTCAGTAAGCGGGCAGTTAGGAAGCATTACAGATTGCTTACAAGCAATTTATTAGGTATCTTGTTAGTCTTTAAAGTGCTACAGAACTTTTTTTCTTTTTGTTTTACCAAGATCAGACTAACACAGCTATCTCTCCATTATGACACATTTGATATGCTCAAAATCTTTTTTACTTGTTATTCATTAAAGTAGTGTTACTCATTTGCTCTAACAGTGGTTTTAAATGCTTGAATGAAATAGTGATGAAATTCATATTTAGGCTGTATAACATTTATTTCTCTCGTGTTTTATAAAACTTACATATTTAAGAATTTGACATTTTGTATGTAGGGGTCTGTCTACACTACAAAGTTAATTCGAACTAAC